GTCCCTGATTTCCATAATCGTTCTCATCTCAACTTCTCAGACATTAGCAAGCCAAATCTCAGAACAGCTCTGTCAAGTGCTGACAGCGGTGGCAGTGGCAACCCAGAAGCCTGCTGTTCCTTGTTTGCATGAGGATGAGACGACAGGGAGAGGTCCCTGTCACATCATGCTAGTGATAGATGGCATCACTGAATATATCTCCTTTGCTTCCAGTAGGGACTGAGACTGTGCAAGAGCACGTTACCAAGGGATTCTTCATGAAGACTGCAGAAAGCACCTGCCCCAAACTGCACAACCGTTGTCTGGGGAAGTGGCTTTCTGCCAATTGCGAAATGTAACTTAAGCAAGGCCGCAGCGATGTTTGTGGTTTTTCTGTTGGCCTTGTTGCTGGCAACGCCATGCTGCTTCAGGTAGAAAAAGGGAAGGGCAGCCCTTGGTGGGGAGCACTGGTTTGATTGCAAAAAGGCTGGTCTCACCCAGACCACTGCTCTCTTCCACAGTCGTTCATCTTCCGCTGGCTCTGTTTCTCCCCTGTAAAGTAGGGCCAGCTGCACTCCCGTTCCTCCCAGGTGCTAACGACCCATTCTGGTTTCTAAGAGAAGAACAAAAAGCATCTCAGTGCACTGGCATATCTACAGGAAGACCTTCTTTGCCGTTGCAGGGGACACCAAGTTTAATTCTTGTTAGTCATTAAACAAAGATAAATAGTCTTTGGCAATAGCAGGACAGACCTTCCCTCAACACAGGGACCTATAAGAGCAAACAAAATTCAGCACATCTCAGTGCACTCAGGTATCACCCAAAAATATTTCTTCATCTCCTAAAAAGCAAATGGAAGTTGGTATTTGCCCTGATTTGGTATTAGAACATCTGTACATTCCTGTCTAATCCCATACTCACCTGAGGGTGGACTGAATGTTTGTTTTGGTTTATTCTTCACATATTTGACAATGAAGAAAAAAATGCTGCTTGGCCCATCCTCTCTGGCTCTTGGGCTGATTTTCTGTTGCTGATTTTTGTAATTTTATCATTCATCTCATGATGTCGAGCTGTTCAGGTTTAGTCATAGATGCATTTATCATTCTATATGACCTGTTTAAATAATGTACAAATGAAAATAGCCTTTGTTCAAGGCATTTGGTATTGGATTATTTTTTTCATAAGCTGCTAGTAATCAGTGTTGTAAAATGGGTTGACTTTTCATGACACTAATGCTAGAGATTTGTTCTAGATCCATTCCCTATGAATTGCTTTGTCCCAGCTACACTAAGAAACGAGCACAGCTTGCCCCTCCAGTCTCGCCTAGGTGGGAAGGTTTCTTGAGCACATAGAGCGCTAGCAAGGCAGCATGCATGAAGCCTGGATCGGTAGATCACTCTCAAGTGAAATTTTAAAGGAGCTTTTTTACCTAATTCCTGTTGATAACACCTGAAAACCTTGGCGATCTCATCCTTAGACTCCATTGAACTGTCAAATAGAAACAGCAGATGATATCTTAGAAAGTCCCAGTGAAGGTGGCAGCTCCCCAAGCCTGCGAGATGCTTGGGGCTGTGACAGCGAGTGCTGCTTAGGTGGCCTGGGGCAGAGCCCTCTGTTCTGCCTTCAGGAGCATTTGAAAGAAGAAGGGGGGAGGAGTGCTGGGGGGCATCTCCAAGGTAGCCCTCTCCCGTGGTGGGAAATGGCCTGGCAGGTAGAGCAGCTTTAGGACTCCACTGGATATGTCTGTCAGTTCATCTCTCTCTCTACCTACACATAATGCCCTGGCACTGTGATTGCCACATAAACCATCAGGCATCACTTTTGCCAGAAGATTTTTTTTTTCAGCCTTTGAAAACAAGGCTAAATTTAACTACCCTTCTTCTACAGACAGAGAAACTGAGGCACGGAGAATCTGAGGGGCTCGTACAAGGTTACGTAGCAAGTCAGAGGCAGTAAATGACCAGGTGTCCTGATTTCCTCTCACCCATATGAATCCGTAGAACTCACTATCTCTTGTAATAAAGCTTAGCTCAGAGACTTATTTTGAGAGGTAATTAATATGCAAAGTGCTTTGATCCCCTTTGATGAAAGACTCTATGTAATTTGCTATCATACTTTAAAGTAATACCTCTAATTTTTATGCAACAGTAAAATGAAATACAGATAATTAATTT